GCTGAACCACAATATTCTTAGCTAACTGAGCCACCGTAGACACTATCTGCGCCATTTTTACCGCAGTGGTACCATGCAAGCCGAGCTTCTCCGCCATTACAAGAGCTTGCTCCAGAGCTACCGCTTTCGGATCCACGTCAACATCGACAGCTGGCAAATCGGTGGTCACTTTTCTCCCCACGGATAAACCAGCTTCCGACAACTGTCGAAGCATCCTAGCATCTATGCTAGTCTCTCCCTGATGCTGGGTATGAGGATTATAGTGCAGATGCTGAGGTCTCAGCAACCTTAATTCCTCAGGAGTGACCTCGAATCCTTGAACAGAGAATTCTACCTCTCCTTCCAACGTGTCTGTCAAGTCTGGAGCTACGAAACGTGGTCCTTCTTCGGTCTGAACTATCTGACCAGGTACAAAGGTCACTCCAAGTTCTCCAGACTCTACGACGCGACCTGGTACGAATCTTGGTCCCTCAGGTGTGTCTACCACTTGACCAGGTACGAATCTAGATCCTTCGTCGTCAGTGGATATCACCTGGCCAGGAATGAACGTAGGACCAGCTTTAGTTTCGACGATTTGACCAGGAACAAAACGTGGTCCATCGGCGGTCTCCACGGTTTGCCCAGGAACGAATTTTGCACCTGTTCTAGTCTCTACCATTTGACCAGGAACGAATTTGGGCCCAGTGCTGGTGTCGATTACTTGACCTGGCACGAACTGTTCGCCTTTCTCTGTCATTACTATCTGACCTGGAAGAAAACCATCTTCAGTCATCACACCTGGTACGAATCGAGGACCGTCTTTTCCTCCTCGGACTAATTGGCCTGGGACTATCCTTTTTCCTTCGGGTAATTTCTTCTCTTCTTCTGGGTAGAATTCTACGCCTCTCTCCGTTTGCACCATGTGACCGAAAATTTCGCTCTGCTGCATAGAAACGTGGGCAGTTTTCGGATCAATTGGCATACCAACTGGTCCAGCATCGTAGAAAATGACTTCGTCGAAAGTACTGGCTGCTGCAAACTCGAAGCCTGTTTCCGTTAACCTGGTTTTACCTGGAAGAAACTTCTCACCCTCCGGTGTTCTCACTACTTGACCTTCTACGAACTTCTGACCTTTCGGAGTATCCAATGTCATACCTGGAACGAACATCGAGCCATCTTTGGTGTCTTTAATCACGCCAGGTATGAAGTAACTTTCCCCGGAGCTAGCTGTCTCGTACTGTCCAGGCACGAACTGGGGTCCCTGGCACGTTGGAATCGTCTGACCAGGAACGAATTTCACTTCTCCCGTTGAAGTTTCGACACTCTGACCAGGGATAAAGTCCCAGGTTCCGTCGATCTGTACACTCTGCCCTGGAACAAACACTTGTTCTCCATGATGGTCGGTGATCGTCTGACCAGGCATAAATCGAAGTCCATCAGGAGTGACGATAGTTTGACCAGGAACGAAGGTCCCATCGTTGGTCACTTGACCAGCGACGAACTTCGGTCCGTCGTCGGTAAGCACGGTTTGACCTTGGACAAATCTGGCTCCGTCGTTGGTGTGGAAGGTTTGACCCTGAATGAATCGATGACCCTGTTCGGTGGACAAAGTCTGTCCAGCTATAAATACTGGCGTTTCCTCGTTATCTTCGTCCTTTAAGTTAAGTATCTGTCCAGGGACGAGCAGAGGGCCGTCAGGAGTGTTCACCGTTAGGCCAGGAACGAACGCAGGACCCTGAGGTGTTTGCAGCGTCTGGCCAGGTACAAAAATAGGCCCGTTCGGCGTCTGCACTGTCTGGCCGGTGATAAATCTCTGCGCGGATTTTATGTCTAATTTCAGACCTTTAATCTTGTGCATCGTTGTCTCTTCACCTTTGCCCAAGTTCTGCACCAACTCTGGGATCTCTTCCACTCTGGGCAATTGTTCCATGGCTTCCTCACCTGCTTGCAATAACTTCATGTTTACATTGGCAACCTCTTTCAAGTCGTTCGTTGGAATATTTTGTATAGCCGACTGCAGAGCCGCATCAGGTTCTATTTGCAGCGGTGTCAATGGCTTCACGATTGATATCGCCTCGAATCCCCCTGTGCTCTCCGATATTGGACTGGTGCACGAAGTCGTAACGCTCTGTTCCACGATTTGAGGCTTTACTTTAACAGGTGTGGGTACTTTGTCAACAACAGGCTGCACGAGAGATTCACTGCTGTCCTGAAACGAGTTCCAATCCAGAGTTTCCGGCAGAGACTTCTCTGCACTCTTCAAAGAACTCGTGACAGAAACGAAATCGCACGCTCTGCTCCTGGCCTGTTCCAGGTTCACGTGCTTCCACGTTTCCACCGTCTCGCTCTTCGTTTCCTCTTTGATACTTCTAAGTTTCAACTGCTTCGTTTGTCTCAGCTCTTCCTCCTCCGCCGCTTTTTCTTTCTCTTCGAAAATCTTCTTGGCATAGCTCAATCCTGCCTGTCGTTTCCTCTTCCGTTTCTTTGCTTCAGCCTCCTGCCTCTCCCTCTCCTTCAGTGCTTCCTGACTCGGTCCCAGACCGTCATAAAGATTCTCAAAGTCCTCCAAATTCTTGAAATCCACCGAGACGTTCTTGCCTTGCTTCAGCCTGAACAAAACGGTGTCGCAGTCCCTGGACAGCATCACGTCCTTCACGTCGCCGTCCCTGACAGCAGCCTCCAATCTCGATGGAAATACGAGGCTGCATCTTCTCTCCTCCACGGTGTACACGAACTTCGCCTGTTCCTCTTCGACGGTAGGTTGCTTCGTGTTCAGTAAATCCCTCAGAACCTTCTGTTGCTCCCCTTCTCCTTCCAAGACTGGGAACACGTAGCGATAATCCTTGAGGATCACGTGTTTCTTCTTCTCGCCCAGGACGAAGCCAGCTGTGTAATGATGAGGTCCTAGACCGGAAGCGTTCGTTATCTTGCATTTCGACTTGTCGTGGGTATGGACACCCAACAGAACTGGAATGTAATGATGAGTAGGCAGGCCATAGGATTTACCGGTGATCCGACAGAAACGTTTCGCGTCGGCTGGACTGATCGGTGGTAGGAGGGGAAAGTAGTTCGGCTTGGGGAGGCCCCTGCTTCTTCCTGTTATCCTGCAGAAGGACATTGTTCGTCTCCACCGGTGGAGCTTCTTAAAGATTCATTTATTCAACTTCCTTTCCAATTCTTCGTCTCGCCTTGCCCGAGGTTCAAGAATATTCTCGTAGTTCGAGTTCAGTGTCGTCGATTTTACATAGAACAAGACAGAACGGTCCCCTGTCCCTCGAGAAGTTAAGAAGTCGTTGTTGTTCCGCTGATTGCTAAAAGCTTGGCATCCCATCCACGAGAACCACGGATTCTTGTATTTGATCATTCAATCGCGACTTCCTCTTGGCGTTCACCTTGCCGTCAGTTAACGCGTCCAATGTCGACGTGTGAATCAGCGACTCATATTGTTCCCTCCTCGCCATAATTCGTTCACGCGCGGACAAACGAAATGTCTCGTGACACCGGTTACAAACCAAGCGACTGGCAATCCTCATGAATGCAGACCGACTTTTATTCGAGTGGCTGCCTTTGGAGAACCTCGTATAAGCAACTTCAAAGCTTCACATCTACTTCGGTGATCCTAAAAGTGTTTCCCACTGTTTCCTTGCCAATGAACGATGACGGCTACGCTCTATTTTTCCCCGCTACCACTTACAGACATCCCCTAGGAGCTTCTTAAAATAAAGTGTCTCTATACTGCAGTCCCAAAGATCGTTTACGCGAATTCTCCGTTCGATTCTCACTCTAGGATGATTCACGCGATTCATCCAGCGAAATGCTGCGATATCCCTTGACGGATCGAGATCAAGATTAATTCGAACAGCGCGGCTATCGCGTTGTTAAGCCGACACGTCGTCGTGGGCCGGCTTATTTTTACCGTAATTTCTCTTCTCGACGGTTCCACGTCGTTTTCATCGTGTGCTCGTTAAAAAGTGTTTCGTCGAACCCAAGCCACCGACTCGTGCCGCCTCGAGAGGCACGGTTTATTTTTACGTACGGGATGCCTACGAGGATTCCGTGGGAGCTGTTCGTTCGTTCGTTTCGTCCCCTGGTAGCCGGCCAATTCGATGATTTCCTCGTCGTAGAAAAGAGCCTCTTTTTCGTGGCGTCGCTCGCCCTCGGGACCCACCAAACTGACCCCTTGGGTAATTCGTCCACTAGCCCGGTCCCGCGCGGATTTTTGGCCGTCTAGCGGCTGCCACAGCCTCTAGACTGCCAAGGGGTTTCGACCAATGACAAAACGCTAGCTTGACATATTTCTCCACGGATTGTCAAACGTCGACTCGCTTTTATCTATTATTCTATCTTGCGCCTTATTTATGAGCCGTCTCACGGGATTTATTATGCTTAATTATATTATATTCGTATTTGACTCGAGATTATTTCGGAGCTCGAACCGGCAGGACTAGTGGCGCTATTTCGCAGTTCGTGTTATGGTGCAGCAAGTAACTTGTTCAGATATTAATGAACGCGTTAATCGTTCCGTAGCAGCGTTTACCCTCGTTCAAAGGTGGCCGCTAAACGTCGAGCTGTCCTCGGTTCCTATTCATTTACGATAACGACGGGTGGCAAGCCCTATTTGTCTTCCCCGGCGCGATTCAGCGCGGCAACTATTTCCACCTCGTCACTTTCACCAACCGATCTTCACCAACCACCAACCATCTATTTTCACGCAGCTGCACTGCACTCTCGCCCCCGGTATCGGTTGTCAGACGTCCGCGTCGACGACAACGAACCGGCGTATCCCGACGGCCTCTGATCCCACACTTTTACATCCAACTAGTGGAACAAAGGAAGAAGCGGATGAAAGAATTCTTCGAATTATTCTCTTGAGATCAACGATCCTGGACCCACAGGTTTCTCCGCCAGACGACGGCAATCACAGAAATCTCGTTTCGGACTAGCCACGAAAAACAGCAACGATTTCTCGATCGATCGACTTATTGATCGACTTATCGATCGCAAAATACGAAGGATGATGGACCAGTTGTCATTCGATCTTCCCGTGAATCCAAGCGCTCCACGTTTTCTCGTGCTCCAGCATTTATCCTCTATTTATTTACCACGTTCACGACCGTTCCCTCCCCCGATTCTAACCCGATGATCACTGTGCCACCGAACCAGACTCGCGTGTCATCTCGATGCAGAGTTCCCGTGCTGTTCCTTACGAAAAGCGTATTGCGATACGCGGCGAACGCCAGACTAGCCGGTGTACGAAGTGGCTAAGAGCCGTTTGCGCGACGAGTCTCTCGGCTCCCCACGACCAGAAATAGCTACCCTTCTTACACTTCTCCAATACATCTTTAGAACGGAGTACACGGGCCCGAAGCTGTGCGTGTCGTGCGCTGAAGGGTGTACACACGCACGAGACGCGTGTTCCCTTGGACACGGGCGACACCTTTTCCCGCGTCACCGAGGGAATTCCCCGCGAGGGAACTCCGGCGAGAGGGCCCTAATTTCGACGCTTTTGGGCGTATAGTACAGGTTTTCGGGTGCATGGATGGAAATTTGGTAAATTGGGGTATAGAGATCGGACTTTTTTAATGGAATTTCTATGATGATTATTAAAACTGAATCTTTGATCATCGATCGATTGATTTACAGATAAGGAAACGAATGTTAAAAGGAAATGCACAAAGTCGAGCGACGGAAGCGACAACATTGAATGTAGACTTATTAATCGAAAGTTTGGAAATGGTCATTTAGGTTATGGTGGATTTAGCGTTAATATATCAGCCGTTCACTGCACAAATCGATTAACTCCACTTTTTGAAAAATCTTAAATATAAAAAGTTGACTATCCAAGTGCTATGACACTTAAGTTTAAGATTTTTCAAAAAGTGGAGTTAATCGATTTGTGCAGTGAACGGCTCATATAGTGGATGGATAGTGAGATACGTTGTTATTAGTATTTGGGTCTTTGGGAACCACTGGCGTCTCGTATTTTTGATGTATCGGATAAAAGTTGCTATAAAATCTGACTAGGATAACTTCAAAGTAGTTACAAGGTATCTGGCTACTGGTTGCGGTTGGTAATATGTCTGGCCCGTAGTGGGTTAATGTGGAAGTTAGGTAAGGTGTAAAGAGAAAGGTACGATGGGAATAGCGTTGGGGGTGTCGTTAATGTCTTCAGATCTTCGTACACTTTCTCGTTGCAAAAACAGAAAGTTGGTGCATTGGAGCAACGATGACTAGAGAGTTAGCTGCAACGTTTATTTAACAAACAAGCAGGGAAAAGGGCAATGTTGATCCCGGCTATTTAAAGCGATCCGATTGTTGCCACAAACGCCTACCGCAGGCCCAATTTCTTTCTTTAGGACCGTTGCGTCATTATTTGATATAAATCGCGTCGGTTTTCGGGCTGTACGCATGAGAAACTATTCTCGCGACCTACTTACGACCACGATATGAAATATCGTTGGATTCGATAGTCTAAAATTATCGAGGCATATCGACCAGGAAAGTTGTTCCGCAAACATCGCGAAATAGAGTAGGGAGACATGGGAAGGCGAATTATTCGTTTACCATTTATGGCACGTCGAAGATGGGTCGAGATAACCGATGCTGACAGTATAAGCGAGTTTATTTCGATGTGCATCTAGCGACATAAGTGATGTACTACGCGATAAATCAGCCGCGTGCAAGTGTCACAAATGCCATTTACAAAAGACGTATAAGACACCTGTTACCATTTTTCAGCTCAGCGCGAGGTGGCCATTGGTTGGTCTCTCTCTTTCAAATTTCGATACAATTTAAATTTCGAGACAGGCGATGTATCGAGACAGAAAACATCAGGAAAACAAATTATAATATTGGTACCGAAGAAGAATTGATACCTTGTCGTCAGATTTTCATGATACAGGTTATAGGCGTCCTTTTGGCGTTCAAAATGGTGAATCTCGGAATAAATTTATGATAATGACGTGCAGAAAGGTACAATATATCGTGGAAGGGTGTATTCAAAAAGGAAAGAAAGACAAATGGAACTGGAATATAAATAGATGCTAACAATGTAACCTCGCCATGGAGAAATTAGCTCGTTCCGGTTGTTAATTTCCTGATGACCGTTTTAGCGTTGGCAACTGCGACTGTACAGAGAATAATGATATTTACGTCGAAGAATGAGCCAAGCATACGACATTTCAACCCAAACTTCACCCATGCAACTTCACTACGAACAAAATGGCGGCGGTATGTGAGAAATGGCGCCTGAAGGACAGCTGTAGGTAAGTATACTTGGAAGACTGCGTCTGGAGTGCATGTTCTGAGAACCACTCTAATCTTTTTCAACGCACAATTGCTACCTTGTTATTCCTAAGCTAAGTAGCTAGGATCGAAGCTATAATTCTTTAGAAGATGAAAGGAATATCAAGTTGCCCGGAAGTTTGCAGGGTGTTCAATAATTTCACGAGAACGAAATATCGTTTAGAAACATTTTGTTCGCGAGGATTTACGATAACGCTTGAACTTGCAGTCGGACAATAATTGGACGTTCCAAGGTTGATGCAGATTTACGAGGAATAGTCCGCGTCGTTGAATTTTGGCTGATTCCACGACTATAACTTATGACTGCGACGAGAAGTTTTAGCTAAAAGCACACTGTAAAAACTGAGCAAATTTGTCATGTCTTCCATATCGATTAATAAATCAAAGTTCATTGAACAAACTCGTTGTATCGATGACCAATACAAATAAGTATCTCGAGGTCGTTCCATTATCGAGAATCCTTAAAACTGGTTTGCCTCGTATGACCAAATGTTCTGTATACTTTTTAAATTGCTACATATTTGACAACCTGTCGTCGTTTCTGAAGGATGTTAAGTTTAAACTGAAAGTGGCAGTGCCATAATTTCTATTGCCACATTGATACGTTCACCTTAATCTATGAATTTGATGATCTGCCAAAGTTTTCGATGGATGAAACCTAGCGTTTCGACGCCACCTCGTGATTCATTGAATCCACGCTCAGTCATCGATGGAAAAATTATTTATGACATCTATTACGTTCTTCTATCATAAATCGAATTCGTATGACGGTCGAGGACAACGGGTACTATAATTCTGGCGATCGCGTAAATCGTTTAACAACTTGCGAAGGAGTAATGATAAATCAATGGTGTCGCTTGATTAAGGATGCAGCTTGATAGAATTATTTAATGTTAAGCGAGGTGCAAACTGAGTCACCTTGGAAATAGGCAGATTCGCCGCGAGATTCTATTTCAAAGATTTTATTTGGGCAGAATGATTGCGCATAATGCCACTCGCGTGTATTTCGTATAACACACCGATTTAACGGCTGATTTATTATTAAAGTAAAGCCAAATCTAAACATAACTCAACTATGGACCATTAGGTTCTTTGCATATATATCAATCGAGTTAACTTGTCTGTAACGATGATGTTGTTCGTTCCATGAATTTCATATTTTACAACCGTGAAACTGAAACTGGTGGACGGTGAAGCTGGTGAACGCTACTTCTGTATTTTCAGAATCTAACGTGGTTCAGAACTATCTCTGTATCATACGTTTTGAAAATGAGCTAAGAAAATTCAATATAGTTATGTACAATGATTTCAGGATACTAAAATAATCTGGAATGGCTTAGAAGGTATGTTAGTTGGATGATACGTGAATAAGTTAATACATCTGATCGTGTCGTGACAACGATATCCTGAGAGTGTCTGCTCAGCATACAATGTATCCAACGATAAACTTTGTATCTCATCAACTGTCAAGAGCACCAGTAAATATTCGCCACTTTCTCCGTGAAGCACGAGTCAGGCGATGAACGATCACTGGCACGAACCTTCTATTTTGATGTACTGCCAAAACCTTCAGAACGCAAACCAGACCACGTTCGAATCCTAGTCCTATCATAGAAAATGGAGAACTCGGGGTGCTATGAAACAAGCAAAAGTTTGCTTTAAAGAACCCCTGTGAATAGGCCAACAAAAACAAGTAGAAATACTTTGGCTACATTCTTTGCAGAATACTTGGGATTCCAAAAAGAACGATTGCTAAAGAGTTATTATATTCTGAATCATATTTATACTTTTAAAATGAACCATCTCCAAGTCCAAGTCTATCTTTCCAAATTATTTCATATTTTTCCACGCAAAATCCACCTTGTCTCAATAATAATTATTCTTGTATTGATAATTACTCTTATATGGAATACCTGCTCTAGTCATACCCTTCGATTCGTTATGAATATTATTGGTACCGTTTCGATGAATCATGCTTCCTCTCATTAGCAACAGTATCGTGTAAACTGCATGGTGCGTGTAAGCGTATTCTTCCCAAGAATCCACGACATTTTGTAATTAATTAAGGCCTAATTAAGGATGGAAACGAGACGTTTCGAAATCTGGTGGCATGCAAGGCGTCGACCACGATCGGCACGCTAACGCACCGCCCTTCCAGGAAGTGTGAAACACCGACAGAATGCGTTTCGTATAAATCATGTCGGTCGCAGGGGACGCAGTAGGAGAAAAAGAATCTGCTCGACTGAATTAAGGGGTGAGACAGAGCTGAAGAGAAAAGGGAGCGACACGGGGGGAGAGGGAAGTGATCGCCGAGAAGAATGAGAGACGTGTTCGTGCATTGCGGGAGTAGTTGGAATGGCGGTGAGTTCTTGGTTGTCTTCAGTCTTTGGCATCGAACCAGATATTCTATCTACCTTCGTGGTGCGCCTTGGTTTTAGTTTAATTTAGATGGCGGTATCGTGACGTAACGTATTTAGCGTGGAGGCATATACGTCTTGTTAGTTGCCGTTTAGCCAATTATTCAAAAACGTTTGATGTTTCGCCTTTTATCCGTGCTGTTTCCTTTGAGAACGTGCGTTAATGAGCACGTAAAACCGTTATATCGCTTCATGTGTACCATAAGTCACTT